ATTATGGGGTAACACTAATACTAACAAAAATGACAGACAGACTTTTAAAGGAAACAAAAAATGAACAAGATACTGTAAATCCCCCAAAATCATCTACAGGGAGGTCAAAAGTCGTTATAGATGATTTCTTCAAAAATGTCATTCGCAGAAAAGTATACTCATTTTATTTTAAAAAAGAAATACCAACGCTAAACAAAATTTTAAGTGAACTTTCAGAGGACAACGATTTGCCAAAAATCAGTAGAAGCAAATTATGGGCCGTCTTACGAGAGTTGAATTTTTGCTGGGAAAAGCAGAACAGGAAGTCAGTTCTTACCGATAAAAATGAAATTATTTGTTGGCGAAGATCCTACTTATGATCAATTAGAAAATTCCGTGACGAAGTGAGGAATATTTATTATCTAGACGAAACTTGGGTCAACGAGGGATATACTGTAACAAAAGTATGGCAAGATAAAAATGTAAAAAGTTTTCGACAAGCATTTTTGGATGGACTTTCAACAGGGTTCAATGCACCTTCAGGTAAAGGGCGAAGATTAATAGTGACACATATAGGTAGTGCCAGTGGTTTTGTAGATGGCGGGTTACTTTTATTTGAATCTAAAAATACAGGTGACTATCACGAAGACATGAACGCAGATGTTTTCGAAGAGTATTTTACACAGATGTTGGATCTTATTCTTCCGGGGTCTGTAATTGTCATGGATAATGCCAGTTACCATTTACGGCAGACCGAGCGGACGCTTACGACTGCTTGGAGGAAAGTCGATATAATTCAATGGTTATCCGGAAAAAACATTTCTTTTGAAACAAATATGGTGAAAAAGGAACTTTTGACACTTGTCAATCTTAATAAAGATCAGAAAAAATATGCTATCGATGAAGTGGCAACAAATCGCTAAATAACGGTACTACGGTTACCACCTTATCACTGTGAACTTAACCCAATCGAATTAGTCTGGGCGCAGGTAAAAGGAGATGCAGCGCGAAATAATACGACGTTTAAATTAAGTGAGGTGAAAATTTTGTTAAAAAATTCCTTGGAACGAGTAACTGCAGATAACTGGCAAAGATGTATACATCATGTACAAAAAGAAGAGGAGAAAATGTGGGAACTCGATAATTTAATTGACGTTACTGTGGAACCTATCGTTATCAATCTAGGAGACGAAGATAATTCATCAAAATATTCAGAGGATGAATTTTAATATACCTACGTTTTTATTTTCTTTATTGTACATTTATACAACACTACATTTACTCACCATAATTTGAATTTTCAAAATATTTTGATAATAATATTGAATAATTTTATTTGAATTACTAAAAACCCTCTTAACCCGGTTATGATGCTTAAAGTAGCCTCATGTTTTGAAATGTTGTTTTTATATTGTTTACTTATAAGAGAAATGGACCGAGAAATTGAAGCGGCATAGACAAAGACGGATTGTCGGGGATTAAATTTTAGCTACCTGCTACAATTTAGTACAGTCCGATCGCACAAAGTTTTTTTAAAAGTACACCTCATCTTATACCGATAATACATAATATAAAAATATTGAATATAAGCACCAGTACTATATTTATTTACGATTTGCATACATAATAAGCTTTTATTATTCTCTTTCATTTCTAAACAGACTATAGATTCTTCAGAACTCAGTTTCTGCTGTCTCTGATACATCCACGCAAGTATTGTGTACGTCTGGCACATTAAACACCTTCATTTGCGTCCATCCACCACCTGTTGTTGACTTTAGAACCGCGGCCACCCTTACGCATATTATTCCAAGGTCCTTTCGCACAGAACTATTGTCGAATTCAATTACCCTACGCCTTTGTTTATCGGTCACAAAAACAACATATTGTTAATTGATATTCCCCAGCTCTTCTAACTGACAAGTTTCTTGCTTACGGCCTGCCGATCTGTGATAATAAATTACCTTTATAATTAATGGATGTCAATTGATGTGCCAATTATCGGCGTCGTCTGGAACTTACCCTCTTCGCTAGACAGATCCAATATGAAGGAGGGAAAGAAATACGAGCACGTAATAGACAATGTCGGCGAAGTACCACCGAAATCTGACGACGATGGCGTTAGTCGCAGGTCGCAAGGTAAATAAATGAAGGTTACTGTTTTACGAGTGTGACTAATAGGGTGAAGTTATATGCGGCAGACGCAAATAGTCGTCTAACTTTTGAACCAGATAAGGTGGTGGTAATGGACAAAAACTAAGGGGTTGAATTTTCCACTTTACGGTTTAAATTGGAAAGTCTTGTCAGTATTTAAACGCATGTCCAATGATATTCCTGTATAGGACAATTCCAGGATAGATGTCAAGTCTAGTAAGATACCCAATCGCTGTAATTCTTTTAACAAATATTGGATATTACCACAATTCTTTTTCCGGGTGTATATACAACTTATCCAAGAAGCGTTAGGGATATTTTATAAATTTTGTGAGGTAATAAGTCTTCAATAAACCTGGATGTGTATTGTGTATGTACATGCAGTGAGTAAAGATGTATGTGTTAATGTCGTGGCAAAAGTTGAAAGAGTTAAAATATTCCTTTATTTGGGGATATTTAGTAATCCTATTCGTCAGGTGATTAATGATTTACGAGAATATTTCTTGCCACTTTGCAGATATACCCATAATTCCTCCAAAACAGCTCCCTAATCCATTATAACGTTACATAAATACCCTATTAAAATATTTCCCTCTAAAGCTATAGGATGGATTAATGAATAAACTGAAATATCGATATGAGACCCCGTTCACTGGGTGGAAGGATTAGACAAGTTAGAGGAAATTTTTTGCTCAAAATACGGATCATTTAATTTTTGTTGAAACTAGATATTTTTAACCAAAAAAGAGGAAAGAGAAAAATTGAGGAAAATTTCCCTCTCTAATTCGAAGCAAACCTTGGAGAAAATTAATTGAACTAAAAACGAGCTTATGGCATTTATTAAAATATATTTTGCTGCCTCTTAATATTCAATTAATATTATTTACAAATAGCACTTTAGTTAGTACCTGCTGACTTATCATAATTATTCGAAGAAACATTTTTGAAACCGCTGACTCCGTCGATAGCTCGGCTGATTCTGTTTAAACAAATTGTAGCTACATAAAAATGTGCTGTCATCTCACAAAAGTGGGGATGTTTTGGTGATTTTTGTGTTAAAATAAGTTAGAAAGGTTATTTAGTTTTTGACGATTTTTTCTGGGAAAAATGTTAAATCTTTCTAGAAATTTGAACTTCCAATTGAAACTGGAGTTGATCAATTATTTTTTTTCTTCAACTAAGACTAATATTGCAATAATTATCCATTACATCATAGTGTACACTTTATTTATAATCTGATTTTCTACATTTGACTCATGGATATGAGAAAATTAGACAGGTACATACCACACCAAAATCTTTCTGAATTTAATTCGCATTGTCGTTCCATATAACCCTAACCTTCGTTCTCTCTCGTCTCCCTGTTTACTACGTGATGCCACGAGCAGAAAATCGCATCAATCAATCTGCCCAATGCTGCTACATTTCATCCTGGCCTGAATGATTTCTCTGAATGATTAAAAACAGCAACAGAAATCAGGGATCTAGTCGGCTGGAAAATTTAATCCGAAAACGTTAAATGCATTCGATCGGTTAAGGTCGCCCAGCTGAGTGGTGGGATTAAAAATATGGTAGTTTCAGCGGAGACATTAACAAAATCGAAACAATAGTCTCGTTAGTTTTGCAAGAAATGGTCAAATTTTCATAAACATTTGTATAATTTTCATATATTATTGTCTTGTAAATGTCAATTTGACGAGTGTGATTACTGAATCCATACAATTATTAAACATTTTAAACAACCATTGGTAAATTGTTATAATGAGTTCCAAGGAAATGATATTGAATAAACTGCTGCTGATGAATTTGGTCAAGTCAGTTTTCCCAAAGTGCCATAGCCTGTAGGTACGTTTGCACGATGAAAATTGTTCATTTAAGGGATACATTTTGACTAGCGCAGCAGCAAGTTGCATTCCATTCCAACTTAGGGTTATTAATGATGCAAATATACTAACTACTAAGTTATAATTTACGTAAATGATAAATGTTTACCAGGATCGTGTTTGTTGGAGAGAGAATATGCATGCCAATAATGGGGAAATGCTGCTGAAAGTTAAACAAATTAGTAAACATTGATAAAGTACTGCAAATACAGTGATGCAGTTTTAATTAATAGAGGCATATATTTTTAATTAAAATCCCCTGTACACAGGGACGTAATATTAATTTTTTATGCCGGAATGAATTTGTGTATTTAAATGAAATTGTACCAGATGACGGAAGTTCGTAGCATGTCTGAAAATAGTTTATTCAATTTCTACAAAATCGTAGAGAAAACATTTGTCAATTTTTTTTGTAGATGTAATTTGCGATTTAGTTATAATTTCTTATTTCCTGAACTCATTTATTGTCTATACCTTTGCTTTAAACACTTAATATTATATCATTTGCAGAACAGTATTTAAAAACAGAGGGATGTAATTAGTGTCTAAATTAATTAACGGTACTCTCTGAAGCATAACATATCTTTGATTAATTAGGGCTATGGCGATGATGCGCAATTATACTGCCTTGTCATTATTCATCTAAAATAAATTGCTGGTCTTTAAAAAGATTCTATCCATTTTAAATAATATAATATTATTATACGATTATACTCAGCCGAGTTCCTGAAATAGATTATTACTGAAAGCTTGATACATTTTAATTTTACTTACATACAAGATCAAGGCAATATTTGTAGAGATGGCAAATACCAGATTAGACAAAACGACGGAGAGTGTGTAGTTGAGACTGTTCGCAAATTACGTGGAATAATATTTATATACAGTGTGTATCAGCCAAACGGAATAAAAATAATTTGTAGCGAATTTCTGTAATCAAATAATTTTAGTGCAACAGCGAAAAATAACTTTATATCATTTCAGCTGTTTCGGTGTCTGTGGGAGTGTGGACGTTAGTGGCGATATCCTTGGAGCGGTACTTCGCTATCTGCAGGCCATTGAAGTCGAGGAGATGGCAGACCCAGTTCCACGCTTACAAGATGATCGCCTGCGTCTGGCTGGCAAGTTTGTTTTGGAGCGGACCAGTCCTGATCGTATCTTCGTTAAAGGCGATGAAAAGGGGTGAGTATTACTGTCCAAGTTAGTTCAGAAAACGTCCGACAATTAGTTTAGTTGGAAGTTAGAGCTAAGTGTAGGCGTCTTTCGACTGTATTCGTTAGAGAATAGTTTCGGTTATTGTTGGGATGCCACGGGATTTGTTTTATAACTTGGAAGCCAGAGCTGATTCACTATACAACTGTTTAGAAATTTCGAGAATAAAACGACTGAATATGATATATTTGAAAGTACATTTTTTTCCCGCACTCGTCTAGGTAGCTTTGAGGGTAGTTTCAATCGATATGACTCGACAAATGCCTATTTATTCAGTATTCAAATAAAGGCTTATTTATTTGTTACTAGATATCGAAAATATTCTACAATAACATGTGCATCCCTACCTCAGATCTGAAGCTTCGCATCGATCAATTTATTCGACACGTATTCTCAAAATTATTTTTTTTTGTACATATACTTTTTGTAAGTACATGAAGATTGACTGTGCGAGCATCGCGCTCGGTAAGCCATTACAGTGAACCAAATTCCAGTGGCGTGTAGGTAAATATTTTCAAACAGCATTTAATGACGATGGTTTTACGGGATGTTATGCTTGTGTACATGTTTTAACCAAAATGATTAAAGCAAAACAGTGTTGATTTAATTCTGAATTAACTAACAAAAGTTATTGAACGAGACTTGAACTAAACTTTAACTAAATGAATGTAGGTAGTAATTTATATGTTAAATAGGCGGTTGTCAAACATATGTGCTACTCCTTCCAGTTCAACTTATATACGGCATGAAGGCGACTTAATGGAGTGTCATTCATAGTTACTAGTTTATTGTTGTTTCGTACTAAAGTTTCGTTCCGCATTTGCAAATTAAGATGGTGAAGTAAATCTGAAATGAATGAGTTTCTTGACACTGTTTTAATAAAGTCAGGCGGCACAGTGGATTGGATTGGATTGGAAAAGATTTAATTCTTAAATCCAAAGGAAAAATGCCAATATTTTAACTAAAAAAAATTAATTAATCGTTCGAAATTGAAAACTTTAAGACAATCAGTTTCAGTAGATTTGAAATCGTATAACTCATGCATATATATAAACGATTTACAAATGACTAGAATTAACTTTCACAAACAAAAGTCAAGCTATTCTCCAGTTCGTCGATTTTCTATCCATTTCGATGTATGTGTATATTTCGAACTAAAATCTCCGGTTCGTGTGTACATTTCTTGGATACTGGAAGCCGGGAGAGCTTTCCCGGCGCATTAAAAAAAGGTTGGATTGATCAGTCCGTTGGAGAAGTGCAAAACTAACGACAAAAAAGATTTTTTGCATCCCATTGAAACGCAAAAGGGGACCCCGAATATATCTTACACCATAAAAGCAATTATTACCCGACCGAAAATATATTTCACTTTCCATGGAAAAAAATGTCCTTGAAACGACAGAGAAACATTTTGCACTTAAGATAAAGGTCTTGTTAGACTGAGATATGCATACATTACTTATAACGAATGTAACCATTTCTTAAACTGAAACTTTCTCTGTATTGTTTAAACGTGGTGGAAACTGAGGCAGCTCTTTAAAAGATGTGGAACATGTTATGGTAGGATTTTATTTACACAGCACGTCATCGAACGTGGTGTTTTCCTCTTATATTTATGATGAGAAACATTCAACTAGTGTAGTACATTTATCATCACTTTCAAATTTTTTTGCTCTAACTGTAACATATGAAAGGCCTCTATGGTATCTTGGGACAAATAATTCACCGCAGGGCGAGATGGAAGCTTATCGGAAAACGTTCTGCATAATGACGCGATGCCTCTGTAGCGTTTTGTTTGCATTCGCCGTAGATTACCAACGTGTCAGCAAGTTCATTGTTGCCAATCAATAACCAACAACATTAAAATTAGTTTAAACTGTAAGTTACTTAATATAACATTGTTCTATGTGAAGACGTTAGCTCTTGATAAATAAATATGGAACGGACTTAACGGATGTAATTCTTTTAAATGTAAATGTCTGGGTTATTAAAACTGGTTTCATTAAAGCTACTTTTCATATATCATATATTAAATCAACGCTAGTTATGAGAAAAACTCCACATTAATTGAAAAATCTGGTTTTGATCCGCTTCCATTGTGCATTTCTAAAGTAGCCGCAAAATAAGTATAAATGAATTTTATTCCTACATTTGGGTACGCTTTAAGGAAAACAGCGATGGTAAAGAGGATCCAATATATTTCAAATACGTTTGAGTTTTACTTCTCATTTTACCGAACTATTGTAGAAGAGGATCACGTACATGATATTCAATGTAGATAAAAGTGCTTCTTGGGTACGTGACGTGAAACAGTTATATCATCGACGTTGTGTTGATGAAGAACAAACACTATGCTGGGTAACATTCATTGATTTATGTTTGCGAGGATAGTTGCCTAAATTGTTGTTCTCTTCACAGTGCACTAGAGTTAGATTTAATTCTAAATAATTTCCTTGACACATGACTTGTCAAACTGGCAATTTATTGGAGTACGTTCAAAATCTATTCTATATTTATGTATATTAAAGAAAGAAAACCATACACGAACTAGTATTAAATTTCGACAACAAAATGTCTGTTATTCTCGTTTTAGACCAAGGCGGATCTGTCGAAATATTCCACTTCTTGGATGTAAGCTAATTTTTGCTAGAATACCTTCAGTACAACTCACATAATAAAAGTGTAGTGTATTTTGAATGTATTTTAGAGAACTAAATAAAGGAGGATGTTCTAGTACAACTTTACACACAATTTTACCAATAAATTGAAAACGAAAAATGATATCGACCTCCGGTTTGTGTATTTGTTTTCCTTAATAGATGGTCTATCAAGCCATGGAAAAAAACTATATCGTTGCATTTAGATTTTTTAGTAAACGGAGACAATTACAAAACTTTTAGCGTCGTCTACCGTTGCGCAGGAAAATAATATTTTTATTCCCATAAATATAAATTTTATTAATAGATCTTTAAAATGAACCGTCATTCATTGAAATCGATTAAGGCATTTAGAAGTTATGGCAATTTCAAAATATCAAGATGGCGTCCTTCATACTGGCGACGCTATGGTAATGACAAAGAAAAAGTTCCAACAATATTTGTGAAGAGTTTAACACTGTATCTAAAAAGTGTATTTTCAACTTAGATTATATAAAAGAAATTTCGAAAAAACGACAATTTTCTGTAACACTATAGCAGTTGCGCCCCCTAGCGGTGAAGTTACAAACTTGAAAATATTTTAAATCAATTTATTTTGGCCGTATTTGTCAATAGATTTTTTACCCCATAATCGTAGCACGTCTAGTTTCCTATGTACAGTTAATGGATCACCCTGTATATGTCCTAGCTCTTACGTTAAAGATCAACGGTTATGTGGTGAAGGGAACTGTTTCAGGTAAAACGTCTTCAGGTCATCAAAGAGATATAAAGGGACAGGAGAGCTAGTAATTGTCTTCCCATGTTTAAAAACTCTAACTGGCGACATGCATAATGGGTTACTGAATGCGAGCAACCGCGTTGTTCTATAAGGGCTTCTACGACATTTCTATATAAATTCGTAAAAAACATTCAATTTCATTTATATCTCGATTCGCATATCACGTTTGGAATTATAATTACATTTTACCAGCCCACGTTTGGCTTTAAAGGACCGTCCATTTACATTTATTAGACTTAATTTTGTGGTACACAACTTCAAATTCAGGTCAAGTATATGGCATTACATTCAAAGTGTCTAACTTTGCTTTAATTTATACTGGATTTTATTTCATATTTTGGACTTTCGCTGGAACGCTACACAAATTCCACTAATTCCCCCAACGTAATCCATTTCAAAGGACACCTATGCTTCGTCCTCACAGGGTGAATCAAACTGAAATTATAGAAGAAAGGACATTTCATATTTATACAAATCATTTAAAAACAGTGTTTGATCAACTTATTTTTGACGAAAATCCTCTTTCGCTGGTGTTGAATATATTGGCTTCGAACATGTCTAGCATTTTCCATATATTGTTTCCAAAAAAAACACCGAACATGTGTTACCCCAAAAAAAAAAACGTTAACAAGCAAGTTTAGGGTAAGACTTTCATCGGATATGAATAATGCAATAGAAGTGGTTTATATAAAACCGATATTTTTTGTACAGCAGTCAAAATATCAGAGCTGCCGACAAGCAAAGTAATATTACATTTTGTTGTACAATACGGTGATAAATGGGATAGTATTGAATATATTTATTTAATCAAATGACTTTTGTTGGGGGTCGATGTATTATTTAAGCTTCTAATGAACAGAAAATTTATTTATATTATACTAAAGCACTGATTAAATTCGTATGGAAAATAGACGTTGTAATATATAGATGGAACACAGTAACATTACAAATTAATGAAATGAACACATAATTTAATCTATTATACAGAACAATTCATTGAATACTGTTCTATTGAATTCGGTAATATAAATTAAACGTGATTCATATTGTTTGATTTTTTTAAAAGACATGTTACTGAAAATTTCGAACCAACATTTTCCCCACCCTACTACACTAATATAAAGTACATTCGTTCTAACAAACCAGTTATTTAACAGTTCGTATAATTGATGACAAAAGTTCTAGGAAGTTTTGTTGTGATATCAAGAAAATATGTAAAAATATAATTTACCGTTCTTGAAGTCTTACAAAAAATGACATGTTCCCAAGGCACCGACAGTGGTCTCTTAGTAGCCCGTTATTAAGTCGAAGGATCCCGCTCTGCCTCATTTATAGGACTTTCGATTTTGTGGCCCCACCCTTAGAAATAACGTTTTATCTGATACAGGTCTTACATCACAAAAAGTCCACAGACAACTTTACTAAGCAAAGGTAATTTTATGGAGCATAAAATTTGATTGTTATTAGGAAAATTTACGGGGCAGACTGTGAGGACTATCGCGATAACGAACAAGGGTGAAACAAGGGAATTAATG